ATTTGTTGGTCTCCCTTTTTATGTACTGTTATGATCTGCCCTACCTCCCAGTCCCCTGGCATTTTCTCTTCTTTCCATATATTTTTCAATAGTGCCAGTATTTTTCCTCTTAGTTCCCTTCCCCCGTATTTTATTAGTTCCATATTAATTCCATCTTTACCAGGGGCTTTTCCAATTTTACTTCTCTGTATTACTTCATCCAATTCCTCTAATGTTGGTTCTTTTGAAATTTCGATGTCTACTTCTTCTACTTCATCTGCTTCTTCTTCGTGTACCATTTCCTCCTCGTTATGCATTTCTTCTTCTGTTGTTTCCTCTGTCAAGAGCACTCTGTAGTAATCTCTCCATACTTGCTTGTATTCTTGGTCCTCTATTATCACTATTCCCTCTCTATTTTTTATTCCGTTTGTTTTGCCCTTGTATTTTTTGTTTTGTTCTTTAATCTTTTTGTAAAAACTTTTTGTATTTCTGTTTGTTCTTTCCTGCTCTATTTCCTGCATTTTTTTGTCTACCCATCTTCTTTTATTTTGCCTTATCACTTTCTTAGCATTCCTTCTTAATTTTTCATATTCTTTTCTGTCTTCTTCTTTATCTGTTCTTAGCCATTTATTTTTGGCTTGCACTTTTTTTCCTATCATTTCTCTACATTCTTGGTTATACCATCCGTTTTTTGTTTTAGCCTGACTTTTACCTATCTACATATTTGCACCTTCTTCTATTGATTTTTTGATTGTCTCCCATTCTGTGCTTATATCTTCTGCTTTATATTTCTCTTTTATTTGAACTGTTACTGCCTCTTCGTATTTTTTTCTTACTTCTTCATTACTCAATTTATTGACATTCCACTTTTTATGTTGGTTTTTTTGTTTTGTTTAAATTTAAACTTTTTGTCTTATAGTGGCTGTGACCATGTAGTGGTCTGAATCTGCACACGCACCTCTGAACGTTCTTACATCTTTAATTGACGATTGTTTTTGTTTATTAATCATTATGTGATCAATTTGACTATATGTTTTCTGATCTGGTGACCTCCATGTTACCTTATGTATTTTAGGGTGTTCAAAATTTTTTGAGCTTATTAACAAATTTGCTCTTGTTGCTAGGTTACATAGTCTTTGCCCATTGTCATTCGTGTTTTCGTGTATTGTATGCTTTCCTGCAATTTGTTGTAAAAAGTCCTCTTTTCCAATCTGGGCGTTGAAGTCTCCTAGTACAAATATGAC